ATACGGAGAGTGGGTGGAGAAAACGTCGAAGAGCGAGAGAGAGAGAGAGAAAGAGAGAGGGAGAGAGAGAGAGATATTCCCTGTTGGAATCGCGGTTGGCAATTGGCGCGAGTTATATTTATCCGATTGTAGCTGGGAGTTTCCTTGCGACTCGAAAATACGGTGCATATGTACGCTTATGTACGTTGCGCTCGCCTCTGACAAAGAAGGAAGAGAGGAGTTTTCCCGTGCGTCATCGTCGCCTCGTTCGAAACGGCTTAGTTTTTCGACCCGATTCGATCGTACGTACGAAGGAAAACTAACGAAAATGAAAATGATCGAACGAAAATGATCGAAAAGTTGAATTATTGTCGTTTCGAATTTTTTTACAACACTTTCGAAACCGACCGATCTTTCCACGAATTTTTAGTAGAAACGCGAAACGAACGAGATTATCCCATGGTCCATCCCCGGGACTGCGCCAACAACAATAACAACAGGTAGGCAACCGCGATCTCTCTCGCGGCGAATAAGAAGTAAGAATGAACCAGAGTAAGTTGAATATATACCGCGCGCAGAAAGGAGACGCTTCCTTCTTTTTTTTTTTTTTTCCAACCTCGGGATCTAGATTCTTAGCCCCCGGTTCTTTTTACGAGAATTCGTTTCAACCTCGGTCGCCCCTGGTGGATGGGGGAGGTCGAAACGCACTCGGGACGTTGCACGCTTTGAATAGACGACGACGACGACGGTCTCTCGCGAGGATCTCGAGTTTCAATAGCCATGCCATGTCCGATTTCCTGACATCCACGAAACACGTGGAACGAGAAGAGAGAATACGAGAGGAATCGTGTTCTCACGCATAAAAGGAACAAGGTGATTTTTCGTAAGGATGAATCGCGACCGCGTATTCGTCTATACCGAAATACTTTTTTTCTTTTCAACGTTTTCCAGATACATTTATCTATCTATCTATCTATCTATCTATATATATATATATATATATATATATGGGTGACGATAAAAAAGAAACGGAAAGACTCACGATCGATCGTGGTCGATGGTTGTGCGTCGGTAAAGGAAAAAGAGGATGGGAGCACGGACGAGTGGGAGAGAGAAAGATAGAGCATACGGCGGTTGGTGGAGGGAAAGAGAAGAAGAGAATCGGAGGGCGTTCACGATAATCCAGCCGATCCTCTTTCGAATTCTCCGTTACGAATAATAAACTTGCCGACAAAGTAGCCGACTATCCCGGCAGTCGAGCGAGGATCGGGCATAGACGCCTTCCACGAACCGCTTTTTTCCGTTTCGACCTTCCACGCCGTAAAAGGAGAGCCGAGCGATCTCGAGGAAGGACGACCGCGCGAGGTTTACGCGTCTCTGCCTCGCTCTTAAGCCCATGGCATAGGCTAAATTTCCTTTCCAAATCATCGAAATCGTTTCTCCCATCCTCTCCTCTCTATTTTCTTTCAACTTTCCAATCTCGGATTATTATTATTATTATTATTTTCGATAACCGTGGTTGCAGCCGTGTGTACGCGTTGCTTCCCGTTTACTCGACCGATACGGACCACCGATCAAAACTCACCCTTCTCCTCTTTTCTTTTTCCTTCTCGTTCTCGACTATTCGCTCGCTCGATCGCTGCTTACCGACCGACCATCCGACTGGAAATTTTCCTATCCTCTCTCTCTCTCTCTTTCTCTCTTTCTCTATCCATCTCGTCCTTCAAAACTCTCGCCCGGTTTTCCGCTCGAACGATTGCGGCGCTCATTTTGCGCGTCCGTTAAAAATCATCAAACTTTCCAAACGTAAACATAAACGATGTACACACACGCATATTTGAGAATAGTGGTTGCTCATTATTGTGTACGTATATTGTGTGGTACGGTAATCGTATACATGCACGATCATCGAGGACCCGAGTGAAGAAATAGCGGCTTGTACACCGTACTCCCGTACTCGAGTTTCTTCTTCCTTTTCTTCTCTATGTCTGTCTCGATCCACGCAGAAACATGCCCGCTTCCGTCCTCATGCGTCCGTCTTCTCTACCAACTCGACATGCTCCTTTATATGATATTTATTATACTACTACCTGATATTTATTGCCTGACCTGTGCGCTGCCAAATAAATTTCCGAAATTTCTTTTTCAATACCGTTAAACAATTTTTACAATGTCACTTTCTTCCATTGTTCATTTTAGCTTTATTATTATAGTCGGAAAATGTGGTATCTATTTTCCTTGTTTCATCGAAGAAACCATAAAGAAAATAGAAAGAAATGTAAAACCTTGAAAAGGAAAATGTGGCATCCAACTATGCTCGAATCTCCAACGCATGGGTATTTCCGTTTCCCGTCGAACCTCGCCTCGACGCAACGCATCGTCTATGTGTATATATATATGTACAAATTTCAATTCGTTTTCCATGCTTTATGATACAAAATACAAATGGCGAATATTTCATATTTTATTTTTACGAAATGATTAAAGGCGAGAGATTTCTTACGAATCGATTCTTATAACTCGATGACCATGCGGTTTTTTGAACGAGAATCACAAATGCGAAGGCATTTCGGTTCATTAGGTTGTATCGTAGCATTCGTGGAAAGCGTCTAATCTTGGACGCGACGATGATGAATCGAGTGAACAAAAACGACGCAAAATCGACCTGCTTCTAGCTTATTACGTACGTAATAATATACATAAATAAGTATGTGTATCGCAAAAATGAACGGCGAGTAGGATAGATGGATACTAGTTCTTTATTATCGGTTTAATTTGTGTCGTGATTTCGATTCGTTCATCTCTTCTGGTTTTGTCACGGTTTGTAGTCGATTCAAAAAAGAGGAACCATAACGAAAAAACGAAGGGTCTCGAGTACTCGCGGGAAACGTAATTAGAGCAGAACCGGTCGCTGCTACGAACAGCTTCTAGGGAAGAGAATAATCTTACTTTGTATATTGTGATGTCCCGTTTCTTTTTCTATCGGATTATTAAAAATGCGAAATTATAATGTTCATTTTATTTTGTTATACATAATTAGTCAACATTATTTGAAATGTTGTTTAGAAGAAAATTTATATTCATAAAAGAAAACGTTTAAATTACTGCATGGAATTAACTGTATTTAGAGAGTATTAAATATTCAACGATCAACAATTTCTTTCGATTTTTCTTCACGATAAAGAATCATTTTAATCGTTATTTCACAGTTCGAAAACCACTTGATAAAAACTAACAAGAGAAATTAAGTTGATTTATTAGCCTTTTTATTCGTTTATTTTTTTTTAACGAGACAGCGAGTAAGTAACGCCCTCCTGTAAGCAGTCGGTAAACTGAACTTCAAAGTGTCGATATTTTATCGACATTCGCTATAATTCGTTTTATGAAAATAATTTTATACGATAATCACATTTTTGAAATACCGATAGAAAGAGAAAATTTAACACGCCATGTGCTTTCGTTATAACTATCAATCTGCAAATATTTATCGCATGCTTGCATTTGCGCTCGATGCGACGCATAAGATCGCGCGAAGGTAAAGAGAAACGAGCATGCTTGCGTGTTGTTCAGGCCAACGAACAACGATGGCCTCGGTTTCAGGGTCGTTTTGGCTATTATTCGCTTGCACCGACTTACCTCGCCTTCTCGTTCGTTCGCATCATTCTCCCACCTCGACGGATCCTGTCTTGCACCGTCTCGTCTCCTAGCTAACCATATAGCCTTTCGCTTATTCTCAGCTCCTCTCTCGTTTCATCTCATTTTACTCAATGTTTTTCTTTTCGTTCGTTTCTTCTTCTTTATCTCGTTGTTTTTAAATTATCTATACTTTTCACATTTTTTATCTTTTAATTTTTTTTTGTTTTCAAAAGCATATGTATAAACTATAATCTGATTTTCATTTGATTCTATTTAATATCACAGACGAAATAAATCTAATCATTTAACGGACTTTGTATTATGTATTCTGAAATACCGATCGTACAAAAAATCAGTGTTTGATATGCCCTCTATAATTTAGAGCGGCGAATGTAGGAAATACATTCAATTCAACAAAATTTAATAAAGTCGACTATAATTTCTTTAATACATTTTTTCGTAAATATTTTCTCTTTTAATATATATATATATCTTTCGATTACGAATTGAATTACGTTTATATTTTTTATTACAATGAAATGAAAATAATATCATATTGTGAGAATTTTTTATAAAAATAGATTTAAATATAACGAGATTAAAATTAAAATTATTTATACATATTATTTTACAAATATATTATAAATTAATATGTATACAATACAAGCGATGACAATTTCACGAAAAGAGTATAATAAAATTAATCGAATATTGAATTCACTTCTCCAGCGTATAAATTTTATAGATATAAAATATAATATAAACAAAGAAAACAAATATTGGAAAGAAATAGAGAGAGAGAGAGAGAGAGAGAGAGAGAGAGAGAGAGAGAAAGAGTAAAATATGGAAACTAACGCCATCTCTAGAGTATAGCAAATGAAGTATGGTAAAAAAAAAATAGTAAAAAAAAAAACATAGAGGATAGATGGTAAGAATTGATCATCAACACCATCTCTCGAATACTTTTGAAAATATTTCTTTACCATTCAAAAAGTGGAGTTCATCTCTATACTTTTATCCAATGTTTATGCTTCTTCCACTATTTTTGTTTTTCCTTTCTATTTTGTTTTGCTAAATTTATACGTTTAAAAAACAACTCCGATTTTAAATCTGTTCTATACCTCGTCTATTAATCGAACGATAACGTGTACGATTTTGTGCTACAAAATAGATTTGAAATTCACAAAACGTTCATATATAAAAATATCCATTCTTCTATGGAATTTAAATATGCATTTAGATAAGAGGGCGCTATCTTCCAATCCGCACTGCATTGCGACGAACGATGCTAGTGACATTTGTGAATAGGAGAAAAAGATAGAGAGAGAAAGAGAGAATCGATTGCTTACGTGCTGCAATGAAAACTAGACCAATTGAAAAGAACCACATGATCGAAATGTCGAACGAAGCAGAGCACCGTTGTGTCACTGATATAGAACGAGAAGTAAAACGTGTTGAAAACAAGTTGAGAGTATGTTGCGATTCATTGACGATCAAAAGGAATATTTAGTTAAATTTTTAGTAAATTCAAGATGTTCTTATCACGTGAAAAGTTCTGTTATGTGTTTTATGATGAAAAGCTTGGATACGTAAAAGAAAGAACCAAGAATGTGAATGCCGCTATGACGGCGAATCGCATAGTTGTACTTCTCGTATTTGTATCTGGTATCGCAGTTGCTGTTATCGGCACGTTATTGTCTCAATATATTCGCGGTTTATCAGGTATGCTTGTAACTCGCGGAATTTCCACCATTCGTTACCATTACTTAATCTTTCGTGACCCATCTAACCTTTATCAAGACAATGATTATAATGATTATGTTTCTCCTTTCAGATCATAATTATCATCACGTATTTATTCCGCTTCCGTCGGAAAGTGTATTAAATGTCTACGATGAAATATATTTAGATGTGGCGTTACCAAGATCTCAGTTGGAAATCGAAAATAGCGCAACATCAACCGCTGAAGCTTTAACCTCGTTACATTTAGCATTAGAAATGAAATTATTAGGCAAGCAAAAGAAAGCGATTAAATTATTTCAGCATGCTGTAGCTTTGGCACCGTGTCATCCGGATATCTTAAATCATTATGGCGAGTTCTTGGAGTACACGCAAAACGATGTGATCAAAGCGAACGAATATTACGTACGTGCATTAAGTTATCAACCGAATCACGAAGGAGCATTGATAAACAGTCAGAGAACGGCTAGGGTAGTTGAAGAATTGGATCGAAGGATGCTTCGACGCATAGACGAGAAAAGAAACGCATTATCCGCGATACCTGATAACAATGCGGCATTGATACGCGCGAAGAAAGAGGCTTACTTCCAACATATTTATCATACGGTTGGCATCGAGGGAAATACGATGAATTTGGCTCAGACCAGAGCAATCGTTGAAACTCGTACAGCGGTTGTTGGTAAAAGCATCGACGAGCACAACGAAATTCTTGGCTTGGATGCTGCAATGAAATATATCAATGCGACTCTGGTCAATAGGGTAGGATCAATTTCTATTAAGGATATATTGGAGATTCATACGCGTGTTTTGGGACACGTGGATCCTGTACAGGGTGGTCAATTTCGACGTACTCAAGTTTATGTGGGTGGTCACATACCCCCCGGTCCTGGAGATATTCATTATCTTATGGAAGAATTCGCATCATGGTTAAATAGTGAGAGAGCTATTCGAATGCATCCAGTCAGGTAATACCTTTTCTTTCTCCTTTTTTTTCTTTCTTCCTACTCTCTTTCTCCTCTACCTTTACCTTTGTTCAATCATTTCCACATTACCTTTTTGCTTCTGTTCTAGATACGCAGCACTGGCACATTACAAGTTGGTACATATACATCCATTCTCCGATGGAAATGGTAGAACTTCGCGTTTGCTTATGAACATGATTCTCATGCAAGCTGGTTATCCACCGGTTATTATCCATAAGCAACATCGACATACGTATTATGAAAATCTTCAAATAGCGAATACTGGAGATGTTCGACCGTTTGTTCGATTTATAGCCGAGTGTACGGAACAAACGTTGGATTTGTTCTTATGGGCAACCAGCGAGTTCTCTAGACAAGTTCCAGCGCTCAGTCAAGATACCTTGTTCACCGAAAAACGTAATACGGTTATTTTAGAAGATGATTTCAGAAATGGTGCTACCAATACCTTTGATACCGATTAATTCTCGAATCGTCGACACGATTTCAAATGAACACGTATATCATATATAATATGTAGCCGTCTCAATTGTATTGTGCTTTTGACAATTTTTCGACGATTCAAGAATTAATCGTTTCGGTAATTTTTTATACTACGTTTTCGAGTACTACTGTTTCGCTAAACCAAAGATTCTGATTTCCTAAATCGTTTTCTTTCGTTTCGTTTATCGTATTACGTGTCTCTTATGTTTGAATCAAAACTTCCGATTCGCGAGCCTCCAATTCTGCTTCGAATTACCAATGATGCATCTTTTTCTTTTTTTTTTTTTTTTGCTTGAATGTACGATCCGTTTTTAGAAGATCAAAATACGTTTCCACTTTCGTACGATTGCATACGTTTTATTCATCTATATTTAAGATAGATAATGTATCTTTCCCTTTTTTTTTTTTTTACAATTCATAAAATGCATGAATCCATTTTAAAGAATTAATCATGTCCCAATGTTGGCAATGCGATTCGAAAATATGCTTCCATTTGTAATTTCTGTTATTTTTTATCGTATGAAACAGTCAACAAAGAAAAACAGCGAACAGTGTGAAACTCAATCGAAGACTGTGATCTAATGTAAGAATTAACAACGTTAAGCTAACATATATTTATTATAATTAGACGACTTTTAAATGTCGATATTGAATGTATCTTGAAAATGTATAAATTTATGGATAGTCGTGTAATTAATTGCTACTTGCTGGACAAGTTACTTTACGATACGATGTAGATACATCGATTTTTAATAAATCCTTATTTTGTAAATCGCTGCGTTAATGTATTTTGCAATAATTTTAATTATTATTTATTACGATTTTGTTAATTTATATCGATCCATGCTCTTGTTAGTTAAACGAATCGTCTGAAATTTTTTATCTTTTAGCTTCAAACCAATCGTACTTTATTCATCAAAAAAACAATGCTGGATTATTTTGTCCGATACGCATAAGAAAGAAAATGGAAAATTAAGAAACAGCGTATACTATGATTTATAATATTGTTTCGTCCTATCCTTTGTTCAAATATATTTTTCTTTTTTTTCTTTTTCTTTTTTTTTTTTTTTTNTTTTTTTTTTTTTTTGTCTATGAAAAGTAATACCGCTATATCGCTGTATTCAAAAATCTACCTACATCTGATACGCGTTATGCGTTATTGAATAATATAGACGTTAAAGTGAGTTGTCGCTCGTAACATGCTATTTTCAACTGGTCGTATTCATCGATTCCAACGTCTTTTCTTCTCGCTATTCGATTCTATGTTATGATTAATAATAAGGAAAAAAAAGTATCGAATGCTCGACTGCTACGAAACTTTAATTTTTATAATTTTTTTTTATAATCTAATAAAACATTACTGACGCTATATCAGGGGGGGGGGAGAGGGATAGGGAGAGGGGAAAAAAAACGATACAAAGATAATTCGCATCGGTTTCAAAGCGCATTCGGTTAAAACGTGTATCACGAGTGAACAAAATTTTTACACTAGACGTGCAAATTTTTTTTTTTTTTTTTTTTTTTTTTATGCAATATAACGATGTAGTTTTTATCTATATAAATACATTTCTATAAAAATCATATTCAGCTAACAACGTAGGTTGACCACTTATCGACTTTTCATACCCTTTCATTCCGTTTCATTTTCATTTATACCAGTGACACACGAGCATACACACACCGCATACGCGCCATGCGCGCGCGCGCGCACACACTCGACCACACATACATGCACACACACATTTATTCATTCACTCGTATATATATTTTCTCTCTCTCTTTATTTCTAACTGTCTATGCGTGTCGTACTCGGTTTCACGGATCGATCGAATCGATAAAAATAAGATTGATCGCAAGAAAAGACGTTAAGATACGCGCATTGCTCGATGCGTTTCAGTAAAGTGTGTCTACTAAAGATTCATTTTTTTGTAGAAGATATAAAAAAAAAATATATATATATATATATTTATAGAAATGAAACCAAATGATAACGAGAATAAGAAACGATATTACACCGATTCCAGATTCTTGAGTAAAGAGACGAAAGAAAAAAGAGAGAGAGAAAAAGGGAGAGTGGGAGGAAGGGAGGGAGGGAGGGAGGGAGCGAGAGAGAAAGGGAGGGAGGAAGAAAGAAAGGTAAAAAGAAAAGAAAAAGGGCGTTTGAAGGGGAAACGATTAGATTTCGTAATTTAAAACGTCAAGTGTAATTTCTAATAAAAAAAAAAAAAAAAAAATAAAGAAATAAAAAAATAAATGGTCATAAACTACATCGCGTCAACTCGAGAGAAATCGATCCATCAATTTTTCGTAAGAGATAGAAATATTTTTATGCGTTTAGACGAATGTTAAAAAAATTATTTTGTTATATTCATGAAACATATTTATCACGATGCATGGTTCAAGTTGACGCGAACATTGAGTTTACTCGCGAATTTTTACCGTCGAATTACGAAGGGGATGATTTATTAAAAAATAATTTACCAAAAATCTAACGTTCAAAGTACGTATTTGATAAATCATATGTAATTTGGGCGTACAAATTGAACGTATAAATTTATTAAGATTGGACAAAATACGCGTATGTGGTATTTCTCTTTTTTTTATTCATTTTCTTTTTCGACAAAAAGTATGTAATATTCGCACGCGTACATTCACATGTTCATTTGAAATTAAGATAATTAAGACAGATAGATTTGGCAATTTAGATCGGCCAGTTGATGAAAACGTTCGTTTGAAAACGCAAGATCTTTAAAGGATATTTTGTACCGCGTGTTTTGTTTTTTTTTTTTTCTTTCTCTAGATATAGACATAGAAATGATCGAGAAGATAGAATAGTAAATAGAATTCATTCGACTTTGCCATTTATTCGTTCGTACGTACGTATACATCTCCATCGATCTAATTAATATCCATTGATATCCGCGTATATTGGAGGAAGGGGGGCGACGTATCGTTTTCGCGACATTCGAACGAGATAATTTGCGAGGCGATTACGAGTGAAATGAAGCACGCGGGACACGATCGATTAAACGTAGGTGAAGATAGAGATATAGTATGATTTTGGTGCGTGGCGCGTGTCACCACGGAAAAATAAGATAGTAAGATAGTAAAGCTAGCGATAAGGACAAAAAGGAGAAAGGGAGAGGAAGAAAAATAGGCGAAAAGAGGGGAGAAACGGAGAAAACGGTTCGCAAGGTAAGTTATATATGGGCGGACGATGATCGTCTGTCGTCTCTGTTCATCTTCGAGTTTTTAGAGTCAAGGATCGATCGAGAACGAATCGAGTGGAAAAGGGAGGAGAGAAAGAAAGAACGAAAGAAAGAAGAAAAAGGAACGGTTCTGATTATTTTGTGATCGCATATTCGGAATTAAAGATAATACGCCGCAAACCTATGAAAGTTGTTCCCTCCATCCACCAGTCGTCGTCCATTGTCGTCCTTGATCCTAATAATCGTCGTGAAATCGTAAAACTCCTGTGTTTCTTTCTCCTACCTTTTCCTCATATTTTTTTCCTCGCTCATACTCGTTTATTCTCGTTCACCCTCTTTCTCTCTTTCTTTCTTTCTTCCTCTTCCACTCTCTCCCTTTCTCTCTCATGCGTACGTGTAAACAAATCTACGTTAATCGTATCGTGAGTTACGAGTTCGTCATCTTCCGGCTGATCTGTTCTTCTTGCAACAATTGTCCGCGAAACTGACTGACTTGATCAATTGCGGCGTTAAAGATATCGCGCTGCTGCACCAATAGCTGTTCCCACTTTTGGGCATATTCTGCAACAAAGAACACGCTTTCAGTGCACGGCTGGTAAACACACCGGTTTTTTTTTTTTTCTTTATCGTATGCGATAGCAAACGGAAAAGGATTTGGTGAATTTGCGAATGAAACGTAAATTTTGACGGACAATTTTGTGTCGATATGAACGATTCGATACGCGATCATCCGTTTCCAATATATACATGCGTGTATATGTACATTTCAAAAGTGTATATATATATATATATTGTAGCAAGGAACGCGATAAATAAAATAGATCGAGCTTTCTATTTTCGTTATATATCGGCATCGCAGAAAGTTAAATTTGCAAGCGTTTCAGTTTTGCGTGGAAAAACGAGGAATTCACGTGTAAATTATAAATTTGATCGCGTGCTCGAGGTTAGTTCATTATTATGATTACAAGCCAAAGTAAATTTTTACGAAGGAAATAATACCTTTGTGTTAAAATTATTATTATAAAAATAATATTTATTAATGGTTCAATTCTATTCGTACATGAAGAGAAATCGACATTCTCTATCCCACTTCCTTCTCGCTCTCTCTCTCTCTCTCTCTCTCTCTCTCTCTCTCTTTCTTCATAAAGGGGAGATATCGCGATATTTGAAAAATATATAAAAACGCAGTGTGTCGATAAAAAAACGGCGATTAACGTAATACACGAGTATACACAGTCCGTTTTATTAAGGCAGGAAAAAAATGTGCAATAAAAAAGAGTGAAATGAAGATAGGAGAAGGAAGAGAAAATGGAGGAAAAAGAAGAAGTACGCGTTGCTCTGTATCCGCGCGGTTCCAATTATTCGTGTAACAAAATCCTGCGACTCGCTCATTTTTCGATCCAACGTATTCCACGTTGTTTCACATTCGGTTCCATTTCATGGGAAAAATATATATTCGAACGTTCGAAAATTGTTTCTGATCATCCGTTGGATACGTTCATCGATGTCCATATGTAGGATATATAACTGTGGGCACAGCTATTCGCGCGATTCAAAGCAAGCGTTACATTTTTTTTTTTTTTTTTTTTTAAGGAATGTCGGTGGTGATACGAATGTAGATGTATCGATGATGCCTTCGCGTGTATCGTGATATCTCGAAATTAATGCAAATATTTTCGGATGCGTATTAAGGTAAGCAACTTTTGACAGGCGACTTTATAATATATGATTTTGAATCGTATGATTTCGTACCATCGGAAAATTGTAATCTCTCTATCAGACGTCTATGCAACAAGAACTTCCTCAGGTTGGGCGACTCAAACTTTGTTCTTTTCCGTCTCAAATCTGCAACGGTTTGTGACGTTACGTTCAAATGTTATCAATCAATGTTGTTGTTGTTGTTGTTGTTGTTGTCGTTGTTGTTGTTGTTGTGGTTGATGGTGTTGTCGTTACCACTGCTGTTGTACGAGCCTTTGCTCCTTTTACCGATAGCTAGAAAACAATCATTTTCGCGGGGCAAACGCGAACAACGCGACAGCCTCGTTTCTTTTTTTTTTTTTCTATCTACTTTTTTCCTATATATGTTTCTATATACATATATATTTTCGTTCTCGAGAAAATAAAAAACGAAATGTTATATTGCCTATTCGAATATACGATAATAACGAATGGCCGTGATCGTAAAAAACAATCTGATTTATCTTCTGTTGATTCAATATTCGTCGAATTAAATCACTGTTTATACACTGTTTCGATTAATGGAAAAAAAATATATACATATAATGATAATAATAATAATAATAATAATAATAATAATAATAATAATAAAAAAATAGTACATATATTCGTAAATTTTCATTCGTTAAATAAATTTTGAAATAAAATTATTCAATTATCGCGTGTATATATCGGTTAGTTTTGTTACATTTATAATTATCGTCGAAATTAAAAATAAAAAAAAAAAAAAATCGTATACCAATAGAAATCCGCAAAACGTTGTGCGATGTGTTACTCGCTTTGTCTATTTTATTTTTGTAACGCTAAAGATTTGATGTCAAAATATAAAAATTATTATATTATCGATAGAAAGATATCAATAGAAAGGGCAAAGAGGAGAAGGGAAAAAAAAATATAATGTAAAAAGGAAACGATGAGAAAAGGAATAATAAAAAAAAAAAAAAAAAAAANAAAAAAAAAAAAAAAAAAAAAAAAAAAAAAAAAGAAAAGGAGGAATGTATAGTGCGAAAAAGATTGATCCCTGTTGGAAAAACGCGTTATCGAAAACTTATCCCTCCTCCGTTCTGTTCGCGTAAATAAAAATTGCTATGTACAGGCTGGGTAAAAAAGTAAAAAGAATAATATCTTTGAAAAATGACACAAAATTGCAAACTATGATTTTGGATTGATCGTTGATCGATGTCCAACGATGTTTACGAACGTACACGGTGGAGAGGGTGAGTTTATATCGATCGATAATGGTGGATTGATCGGGATCGTAGTTATCGACGCGGTCGAAGGATCCGGAGGAGCTCGCCGAGGCGAAGATCTCTTCACTTTTCTCGTTCCCTCGTTGTTCGATCGTTCCGTTTCGTCGATGAGAACGATGACCATGATCACGATGACGATGATTTCCCTCTTCTCCACGCGGTATGTTATATCTTTCTTCGAAAAAATCTAACGATGATCGACGATCGAGCAAATGTCTCGCGCTCTCGTTGCTTCTTTCGTCGGTAAAGTTGAATTTATCGCAGCGAAACAATTTCTTCTTGACGGTCTTCTCGTCATCGAACCCATCCAAATTGTAATCGTAATTCGAATCCGTGGCAATGATCTCGCGATCGTTGCTAGAGAAACGACGAGTTTTCGCATAAGTGAATATTCCGTTATCGACGGACGAGAATCTTTTCGCGCGATCGTTGAAAGTTCCGGACCAATGATACTTTTTCCCACTGCTTGTGGCTCGTTTAAATCGTTGCGCACTGTTATCCATCCGACAAAACGGGTTTCCTCTCTCGCCCACGTTTCCAGACAAATCGTTAGTCCTCCAAATATTTTCGATGCGCGATAAGTTCTTTGGACGAATAATACGATCCGCCGCGATTTCCTCGACGCGAGCCAATTCGAAAACGTTCGGTGATTCGTGATATCTATCGCAAAAATTTACGTCACTTTCACATTCCATTTCGTCCCGCCATGGTGATTTTAACGAATTCTTTATTTTCCTATCGATATTCACGTTATCGTCACTTATCGACACAGCCACCGTGCTCGAACTCGTTGTCATCGTCGTCGTCGTAGTTGTTGATGTTGTTGCTGTCGTTGTCATCGTCGTCGTCGTTGTTGTTGTTGTTGTTGTTGTCCTTCCTTCTAAGTTCGATTCTAACCGACGACTTGCCTTTGCCTTATCTTTACCGCGTGAATCTGTCGCAAAATTCCACATATACACAATAAAACTTGACGCTTTTTTTTTTTTTTTTTTTTTTTTTTGCTTCTCGTCGTTGAATCGTACTAAGTTTTTGTCCCGAAGAACGACGTTATCTTTTTCGATTGCCGATATGAACCGGAAAATAGGAAGATGTAGTAGTAGTAGTAGTACTAGTAGTAGTAGTAGTAGTGTAGTAGTAGTAATAGTAGTAGTAGCTCCCATCAAATCGATGTCGAGGCATGCGTTTTCGATCGAAAAGAGGGAGTCCATTGTGTGAAAACGAAAAAGAGAGAAATTCGAAATGGGGGGGAAATAAATAAATAAAAAAAAGTTTAAACCGTTTGGGAAACGAAACGAACGAGTAGAGAGGAACGATTACGTACGCGTGCGAAAGAGATACGTATATATATATCTGATGCACGTCGAAACGAGACGGGAGATGAAGAAGAAATACGTATATCGATTCATTGTGCATAGATGCGTAGGTACATGCATGTATGCGTGCATACGCGAAATACGCGAGCGAGCAGGATATCGAGGGGTACGTACGGTACAGAATACAAGGGGGTTTGGAATCGTGAATTGGCAAATGCGGTTTAACCGTCTTACCTTCTTGGTCATAGTCTACTTCGTGAGTCACACTGAACACACTGTGTGCATCATTGAGAAATCTGGTCGTTTGATCCATAACCATTTTGTGCGTATCCAAGACTTCCTCCTCCAGCATTTGCAACGCGGATACAGCCTCGTGAAACGTGTAAAGATCTTGGGATATTTCGCTCTCCTGGTTAAAATTGAGTATCTTATCGATCTTATCGACCGAGATTGCGCGATAAATAAACAACGTTCGGAGAAGGTTTACGGTTTCAAATATTTACGTTAAGGGATCGTAGTTGAGCCAAGTCGCTGTCAGACAGCACGTTGTTCGACTGTGCCTCGATTTTTAATTCCCGTTCGTCGTCCGTCGAGGAAATTTTCACTTCCGTCGGATCAGTGGCGGCCAACTCCTTCACTCGATCCGCGTATCTCAGTGTGTTCAACGAATGCTCGCAGGAACTCATTCCCGGGCTGATCATGGCGATCTACGATAACGAAATTTTTCACTCGATTGTTCGAAATTTCTCGAATATTACATTTTTGATTTCTTTTACCATGCAAGTTTTCGATTTTTCACCGATGAAGCTGTCCCTTAACACTTGCGTCAATTTGCTAGCCCTGAACGGTAAATGCGTTCCTTTGCGGCCCAGGGCTCGAATGCATTCTTTCAAGGCCAACAGTGACTTGTTGATCTCTGCACCTTCCATTCCTGGAAACGAGGATTCACCGTAGTAGTCACAGGCTATTATATGTACATCAAGGTAATGTAAGGCAACGACTTACGAGTTTGTCTGTTGGCGGAAGACGTGTCGGCTCCCCTCTCGTTTCCGGCAAGATCGATCAACGAGAATTTTCCATGAACTTTATGGGTGGCCGGCGTACGGGCTATGATTTGAAACACGGCGTGCGACCGGGACGAGTTGGAATTGGCGCTTGTCTGCCCGCTGGTCCTCGCGCTGTTCCCGTGTTGTATCAATTTCAATACTTCCTCGCACGATTCCACCACCTTCTCCGTCAATCCGACAATCTGCACCTGAAACGAGGAGTAAGTATTATACGTACGTAGAACGAAAGGAAGGAATCAGAAATAGATAGAAACAGAAATGAGAAGAGCAGACTTACCTGTTGTTTCCCATCCTCCAAAACGCGAAGTTTTTCCTTGTCCGCCAATAAATCGAACACTTTCCCCGAATAAATCTCGAAGAAACTCGCGGAAATGATGAGATTCAGGGAGCGGTATTTGGACAATTTGAGGCATTTGAACACGTCGTTGGCAACCATCGCGTATATACCTTTCTTGCAATCCTGAGTTTTCCCGTTGAAATCACCGCCCATCGTATGGGTTTTCCCGCTTCCCGTTTGACCGTACGCGAAGCAGGTTGCCATCCCGCCCTCGAAGATGGTCTGGACCAGAGGTTTCGCCGTGTACTTGTACACGATCTCGTTGTTGCACGTCTCGTCGAACGCGTAGTCGAAACGGAAAATTTGATTCTCCAAATATTTGGTGAGATCGACTTTGGCCTTCGGCTCGTGTACCACCATCTGATCCTTGCTGGGCACGCTGATCACGTCCACCTCTTTCCGCGCTATCTCCTTCTTGTTCAGGGGGCGCTTTCTCACGCACACGGTGATTTGATGATCCTCCACCACGTCCGACTCGCGTAGCGGCCTGAACTCGATGCTGTTCTGATACTCCCTGCGGGAAACGGAAAACGGCGCGGGCGAGCGCGACATTTTGAAAAAAAACGATTTTCCAACGAAGGGAAACACGGGTGTGCACACAAAAAAAAAAAAAAAAAAAAAAAAAAAAAAAAATAATGGAGAATAATAAGAAAAAGGCGAGAGAGGGTGGGAGGGGACCCTGACCTTATCATAGCGAGAAACTCCCAATTTGGATTACCAGGATCTAAATTCATCAGAGCCTCCTTCTCTTCCTTCAACTCGGCTTGCCTCTGCCTTCTTTCCTCCCGGTTCTTCTTCAACCTCTCCACCTCCTTCACCACGTTCGTACGCCTCCCACGACCGTTCTCCACCTGTTGTGCCGCCTGTTGCTGCTGCTGCTGTTGCTGTTGCTGCTGCTGCTGTTGCTGCTGCTGCTGCTGCTGCTGCTGCTTCTGTTTGGCCAGGGCCGAGAGGGTGACGTTGAAGGAAGCGGCGGTGGCCGTGGTAGGTGTTGGCACGTTCTCCGCCTCCCTTCTACCTGTCAATCCAGCCACAGAGTCACCGTGGCCGTTCACGGTGCTGCCCGGCGGCATTATGTTGGTTGGCCGACCCGTTTGTCGCGACGATTGTCTGTTGAAACCCGCTGCAAATTATGCCTGATCAGTCGCGGGATCTGATCAAGATCTCTGGGGGGGCAACCCAAGAAATTATAATCGAATAGAAATTACAACATTCGATTCTTTTCTTATCACTCGTCGTCGCGACGTTTTCTTTTTTTTTTTTTTTTTTTATTTACCCTGCTCCGAGAGGACCCGTTCCGAGAGGGTTTCAACCCATTCAACCCCGATACTTCCCTCCTCGCCCACGTCGTCGATCTTGTTCTTTCTCCCGAAACAGAAGGCCAAACGGTCGAATCTCATTTCGCGAATTGGGAAGGAAAAACGGAAAAATGGAAGCGGACACGGGGGATAGGGAGAGAGAGAGAGAGGAGGATAGGGAGAAAGAGAGACGCGGCAGGGCTCGGCTGCGGACACGAGGTTATTATACACACGCTCGACTGTGTTTCGTCTCTCTCTCTCTCTCCCTCTCTGCTTCTCGAGGTTCTTGCCCTTGCGCGATTTTGCATACGGCGCAAGAGCGTCGATAGTTTAGAGCGTGAACACTAGCACCACGGTGGCCGGTTGGCGTACACATCGACGGTGGACGGAGTGTACTTGATTCGCCATTCGTTGGAAAAATCGATGATTCGCGATTGGACGGGGCGCGAGTGGACGGACGGACGGCGGTGGTCCCTCGAAATTGAACGTGTTCGGGATCGATACGCGTATACACGGCGATGGCGATATATATCTGTGCAATTGTATCGGTTCATTGTTTTTTTTTCTTTTTTTTTTTTTTTCTTTTTTCCACGAAACGTCCACGAATCTATCCCAAATGTGAGAGAAAAAAAGATGATTGGAAGGCATCGTAACTGTTAACATCGTTTTGCTCGCCCCACGACATACCTTTCACTGGAATCGATGGCTTGATCGAATGCTGAAAAAAGAAGAAACAGGAAACGTGTTATCGTAAGATTTTTACGAATTTTATTTCGAGCAATAAAAAAATAAATAATAAAAGCTAAAACGGTGCTCTTAATAATCCAATGATGCTTAAAAATAAATATATATATATATATATATAAATAAATAAATAACACGTTGACCGAATAATAACAATAACAATAACAACAGTAATAATAATGATAATGATAATAGTGAAAGATCAACGAATCGAAATCTAGAAGAGAATGTCGCGAGATTTTTCGTCGTATTTTCGGGGAGTGGGGGAGAGAGGGGAGGGGGGTGCGTGCGTTCGTGCGTGTGAAAATGACGCGTCGAACGAAGAAAACATAAAACGAACGAAAATGGAAGAAAAGATGAAAGATGAAAAACGATGATCGGGATCGTGGATAACTCGATTCGACGTTCGATCCGATTCACGATTCCAATTTGGATGAAACGAAAAGCGGGGAGAAAGGGTTGTTCTTTTTCTTTTTTTTTTCTTTTCTTTTTTTTTTTTTTTGTTTTTTCCCCGAGAGAAATGAGAAAACGACGAGAAAGCGTTTTTTTTTTTCGCACGAAGCGGTGAAACGATACACTGTACGTTTATTCGTTCGGTTCGAAAGATGGCGGGGGAGAGGGGGAGAAGTGGCGGGGTGGGGGAAACAAGAAAGAAGATAAGACGTTTGCGTTGTTGTTCCGCGAACGTAACGAACGTCGATTAGCCGCGTTGAAAGTGGTGGCGCGACGAATATTACGTGCGGAGTGGCATCGATTACTTCGAGACGTGACAAAGTGACAAAGCGTATATAGGGTATAATGTTTATATACACACGTGTAAGAGAAGGAAAGAGGAATAATGGTTGCGGTTACGGATGGAAGCGGAGGAGAAAGAGGAAAAAGCAAGGATGGACGGCGCGTGCGATATATAAGTACAAGGAAGGATGGAAGGATGGAAGGAAGGAAGGAAGGAAGGAAGGAGACGTGAAAGAGGTGGGAGTAGAAGCGTGGGGTTGGGCGCGTTTACCGAAAGAGCAGTAACGACTCGTACAGGAAGTGTGGCGGATGCAAGGCCGTTTCTTGCGGTGTGACCGCTGTGCCGTCCAAGGGGGCCCTCCTCTTGGTTTTCCGACTCGTCCACCCCCTCGTCTTCCTCGTCCGAAGAATCCTGCGTTCCCGTTCGTTCGGAATGGAATGGTGCGGTTTTTTTTTCGCGGCGTGACGAGAGCAATTTCGAGTATATCTCGGGGGGGGAGAGGGAGGAGTCGCGATCGCGTTCGTGAGATCGTCGAATAGAGAGGGGTGGCGCCGTGGGTGGAGACAGATTGCGGAGACGCGGGGCGGGCGATGAGACGGCGATGCGAGGTCGTATTGGGATTCGATCGGTTTCGGACGGGGGAGGCCCGAGATCGGTGAGATGATCCATCGCAGGCCCAAATCCGTGATAATGAGCAGCGTCCATGGAGGAAAAAAGATGTAATCGTGTTAATAGCAGGAACGACGAGAGGCCGCTCGATCGGCGATGATCCGTTTCGCTCTCTCTCTCTCTCTCTCTCTCTCTCTCTCTCTCTCTCTCTCTCTCTCTCTCTCACGCGCACAACGAATCGGAATGGTATGAAAAAACTACGTACACGCGCGATTTCGAGATCGATCGCGGAAAGAAAAACGCGAAGAGGCGGGGCTAAAGCGTAGATATCGCGTAACGGCTCGACGGAGAATTCGCGTTACGATCTTTTTCTTCTCTTTTTTTCCTTTTCTTTCTTTTCTTCTTCTACACTTTTTTTACCTATTCGTTCGTCCAACGTTGCCGCGCGATGTTTCTTAAGGAGAGGAGGCGATCGAGCGATCGAGCGATCGAACGATCGTGAGATACGTACCCGTGCTCTGGAAGATATCAACGTGTGATTGTTCATCTGAGCGGGTGATTCTATGGTTTTCTGATTGGTCAGGTCGGGATTCAACGCGATGATCGCATCTATCTCGACCTAAAATCGAGACGAATTTCGATTATGAATTTTCTATTCTTTGCTTTTCGACTTTACGAATATACGGTATAATATATATATATATATATATACCTCTTTTCCTTTCGTCTCTCCTCTCTCGAACCATTCTACGGTAACGGTGCGTTGTTCCCAATTAATACCCGAAACCACTGCCGAATGAACACGACCTGAAACAAATTAATCGCAAACTTTTTTATCCATCCATTTTCTTTCCTTTCGTATAATGATATATTTGTAAAGCAGCAATTAAACGCGAAATTTAAAAACTCCCATCTGAATGAAATTTAAACCGCGTTCGAATCGATCGTTGGAAAAAGAATAGCGAGAATAGCGTGCCTTCGATCTTGGATGGTGGATATCGAAAGGAGTGTACGAAGGGGGGAGGGGGAGATTTTTATCCCAATTATTCCGTCGAAAAGATATTCGATCGAAGGTTTATCAAGTCGGGAAGATATCGGGGCGAGGAAACGTGTTCGTAGATGACGTAAGATTGGATAAAAGGTATGGTTCGCCGAAGTAAGAATCTCGCGACGGGCGTCCTTATAAGGATACAGCGCCCACGTGCACGGCTTGGTACAAACCGTCGTCCCCCGTCGCGAATCGACCACGCGTCCCTACACCGCTTTCCATTTCGATTTTCGATCGGCAACAAGAACGAGCGAGAAAGAACTCGATTCTTTCGCAGGGATTTGACTGTGGACCGCGAAATGCGAACGATTCCCATCGATGGATGGTGGATCGCGCCATCAGGAAGGGAGGAGAGGGGATTTGCCCACTTGTTGCGTCGTCCCGCGTTGTGTTGCGTTACATTGCGTTACGTACGAGTAACGGATTTGCTTCGAACCGCATCGTTTCGAAAAAAAAAAAAAAATAAATAAATAAATAAAGGAAGTGACATCAAGAAAGAAGAAGAAACATTCGTAATCGCGTTACTTTACAAGATGATGGTGATGAGAGAATTTCGAACGATAATCGGATATTCGTTTCGTTAATCGATTCGAAACTGCCCTTCGATCGTAGCGGATAGAATAATAGAAAGTATTTCTATTTATATGGACGAGCGTAAGCTGTAAATGTTATTACCGAGTTTAAGATTAGATAACCATCAATCCGCGATGCATATACTACTAGGGACAACTGTTGACGGATCGAGTTATTGGAACAAGAGTAAAGTAACGAAAAACGTGAAATGAAAATCGCGAACATCGGTGCTGTCTCCTTTCTTGGCGAACGGTCTGAGTCATTCGACCGCGCCACGCCGTGCCGCGCCGCATCGGGAGAACGCGAGCAAATAGAATTGCTTCCTCTCGATTTCTTCTTGGCCCGAAACACGAGCTGGATCGATTGAGAAAAAGAAGCCGAGTGTTCGCGTGCTACTCGTTAGATAGCGCCTCCTTTTCTCGGATTTACGCGCGAATCGGCAAAGATGAACCGAAAAAGGTTCGACGAAAATTTTCCAAAGATATTTCTAGGGTCGTGTAACATTTAGAGCGCGTAAGAGGGACGCGATTAATGACTCGAATGAGGTGTTGCCGACGATGGTAGCTCTCGTTCTGGTCTCGTTGCACGCGTCGAGCGCGAGAAACGCACGGTGAAAGGATATTTATCCGTTCATCTTTCGACCGAATCGAACCTTCGTTCCTTATTGCACGCCCAGCAAAAAGGCGACAGCGAATTGGTAGAAAAGTACCGCGTGGTGTGTCGCACCGGCGAGGCGCGACAACAATGCGACGCACATTCGTCGATTAATAAATCTATCTGCACAAAATTTCTATCTGATCGAAAAAAAAACATTCACATATACGTTATAGATTTACTCGAGGTTCGAATAATTTTCCCTTTAAAATTAATATACGATAAATATTTATCGTTGTTATCGTTGTTTCAAATCTTCTTCGATAAATAATCTTACGATAAAAATTAAAAAATTATTCGACGGTCGTTGAGATGACGTTTTTTCTTATTCCCTATTTGCGTTTAATTCCCTCCTTCGCTTGTAGCTTGTTTCCTTCGCTTACCTGTCGTCGACTGTAGATCGATAAGTGAATAACGAATAACAAAAACGAAGAACGAATAAAAACTTAAGGAATGATAATGTCCAATATTGTCCTCCCCGCTACGTACTCTAAGTATCCGTGTATGGAATTTCTCTACTGATACACGCGGGTCGAGCTTAAATAAGGAAAGAAAGAAAACAAATATGGCACGTGAAAAGGTTAGTATCGAAATGCAAGGACAACTGAGTACCAGAGATTTGATACCAGTATTTTAATAATGATATTACGACGATAAAATTTAATCGAAACTATCGAATACATACATCGAATCGAACTAATTCCCCAATATTTTTTCCGACTTTCATTTTTCCCCTGTATAATAATTTCTGCGAAACTTTGCACGACTTGTAACTTGATCAAACATGATCAATGCTTGTATGTATACTTATAAATATGTATCGAAGCAATTGTCCACAAATCCCACGAGTGAAGTTATCGAAAACAATGGAATTTTGTTACGTGTAGAAATGAAAATTTTATTTCTCTTTCATATTTCCGGCATTATATCTACGAAATCGTATTAATAGAAAAATATCTTAAAAATTTCAAACAAAAGTTCAGTTAATCAACAATAATTACTTATTAATTGATATTTTATAGTTTCATTTTTATAAATATGAATTTACATCGAAAAATATCGATATAATGCCGGTATTTTGCATTTCGATTCAAATCCTTGACTCGTCATATCAAGATTATTCGATCGATTCTTCACATTTAGCGCGTATATCGCGATGTCCACTACATATTTATATTCGAATAATTCGTCGATTCAAGGATGCGGCTGTACACGCAACGTGCAGCGGCTGCGTGGTCCGATAGGAGTAGGATGTGCTATGTTCGTTTGCTCGATTCAGGGGAAATACATAATACATTATACAACGTAGTATTTACGATTATTCTCGCGTTTTCACGAGAATGGTAATGATCGACCTGTTTAATTCGTGATGCATCGATGTTTGATTAAATCTTACGCCAAATTGATTAACATTGGTCATAATGGGAGAGATACAATTACTCCGTATATCGATTGACATTGAAAAAAAGCTGAAAAGTCAGACCGATTGATCGAAGAGATATCTCCTCACAATCGTGTTCGATTTTCGTTGGCACTAGCCGCGAAGCTTTGCGCACGCGATCGGCTGTCTGAATATGTCTAAAAATACTTCCACGAGATACGTTACTCACCGTCCGTCCTTTTGATATTTATACTGTAGCCGGTCTCGATGTTGTACATGCGGAGGTCCATGGTCATTTAGTCGCGTTCTCACACCGTGGTTAATATTATAAGACGACCGGTTTTTCACCGGATCGAACACGACAACGTAGACGACGACGACGACGACGACGACAAAGACGGCGACAATATGACACGACGTTAACGATGTTGACGTGACGAAAATACAACGATTCTAGCGAGGGAAGCCTTACGAGGACCCTGCAATTTGCGAGACTTTCAAATCTGACCGTTGACAGTTACGTCTGTATTCGCGTTTAAAATCACGCGGCTGTATCGCGTTCCTCTCCACCGTTGTAGCTTGTACTTTTCCCTTCCCGTCACCGTTGTTACCACTGCTGCTGTTACTATTGCCGTTCGGTTCTATTTTCCTCGTTTCCCTTTTCTTTGTTCTTCTGCTTTATCGCCTCTATGGACTGTTAGTCCTTTTTGTCGCAATGTTAACCGCAATCGATGTCTTGCTGTCGTTGTCCACCACTTCTCGCCGTTGTGTATTTTCACGTCAGGGACGTCGCCGATTGTCCAAGGCACGCCCGTTTTCGCGAATTCTCGTTAAAATGATACGACGTGTAATCCACGAGACGGCACACTCTCTTTCCACGAATTTGAAAGTACACCAAAACGAAGACACAACGATTCGAAATTACATTCGGAGATTCGTTGAATTTCACGAACGAGATGTTTCCGGGATTTTGTGCCGGGATACTGCCAGTGTCCGTTATTAATAACGGAAAGACTGCGAGCGCCAACTTTCGGTCGACTGCTATCGTCGCGACATCTGTCACGATGCGTCTTCTTCTCTTCGATCAATTGCATCGTTCTCCCATCTATGGGCCGTTTTCGCAATTACCGGCCATATTTTAATACGTTACATACGCACGTATACGATAAAACTAGATGAAATAAAAATCAAATTATGAAATTGAAAAAACACTAAGAGGATTGAACTTTAATTGATTGATATAAGTACAATTAATTTTTTTGAATCGATCATTTATCGTTTTATAATATAATAAACGTAATAGACGTATAATTTTTTGATATTTTAATCATTTCGAATTATACAATTATTGTGGAAACACGGCTTGTCGAACTAACGTTTTCAATTCATCCAAATCCAAGTCTTTCCATGTTTCGAGTCGCTCGGCGATTCTTTTCAACCTAAAAACAAACTCGTAACCATCGATTTTTCCGCGATTCCGCGAAACGTAAGAATTTTATTATAAACTATTTTACCTATCGTGATGATTATATATACTGGATGGTAATTCGTGTCGTTTCATCTTCTCAAATATCTACGATCAAATCAATTCTATCGTTACACGTTTCGTATATCGTGGAACAGTGAATAAAATACCTCTAATCCTCGTTTAACGATATCTTCGTCCAATTCCGCGAGTCTCGCCACGTAATGCGCAAAACTGCGTGTTGTACTACCGTTAGTCAATCGGTAGAGGAACGCCAACGATTCATCTTCGTCGATCGTGTATTCAAATGTCTGTACGATAAAAAGGAAATGGAGAAAGAAAGGGAGAAAGGGGGAGAGAGAGAGAGAGAGAGAGAGAGAGAGAGAGAGAGAGAGAGAGAGAGAGAGA